TTTTTTGCTCATCTTTTCTCTCCCCCCGCCCCTCCGGCAGATCGGACATCCAACCGTTCTGATCAACAATGCTGGTATCCAGAACAATCGTCTATTGATCGATCTAGACGATCAAGAGATTGATCGGTGCGTCCGGTGCTGCTTTCATCCTTCTAGCCCCGCTGCGCTTTGCTTCGCGGCCTCGAATCATTCTCCAAAAGCATCGCATCATCATACCCTGCCCCCATCGACACTCACATGAGCGTTTTGCCTGCCTGCTGCTAAACTTTTCCCTTTCCTCCTTTAGTATGCTCAATATCAATCTCAAGTCTCATTTCTATACCATTCAGGCTTTCTTGCCGGACATGATTCGGCGAGGAAAGGGTCACGTGGTGCTGACGAGCAGCGTGATGGGCTACGTTGGTGTTTCGCAAATGAGTGAGTATTGCCAGTCTCGACTTGGCCGAGATGGGCGACGCGTTTCCCTTTATCATGACAATTGACTCGACGGTCAACGATTGACGTCCTTTAGGCGACTATGTGGCAACGAAACATGCCCTGGTGGGCCTGTTGGAATCGCTGCGGTACGAGCTTGACAAAAAGTGCGTCCAAATTTTTGACCCGATTGTTTCCTGTTTTTTTTTTCTTTCTTTTTTGCTATCCTTGCTCAGCTCTTGGAGCACGCTTCTCCTTGCCCTCTTCTCCCTGACCATCCCCCCACTTCCCATTCCCCACCTTTCTGACTCCTGCCCAGACATCGCGTGCCCAAGGTTCGAACGAGCCTAGTGATTCTAGGGCACGTAAGAACGGCCCTTTTCTCCGGTGCCCAATTTGGTCCCTTGGCTTCCTTTTTGGCCCCTACCGTCGAGGCTGAGCAAGTAGCGCAGGAGATTACAGCAGCTGTGGAGCGTCAAGAGAGCACGCACATCGCTTTGCCATTTTATGCCAATTTGGTGCCTTGGTTGAAGGTGGTGCCTACCTTTTTGAGGGATTTGGCGCAATGGGTGAGTAGGGCCGGACCGGGACTCTTTCGCAGACGCTGGATCAGAACTTGAGAAACATGCACTCTGATTCCTTGGTTGTCTCCTCTGCCTTTCTCGATCATAGATGGGAGACGCGGACGATAGTATGCCCCCGCCTACTCCGAATGCGCGTGCGCGTGCACGTGCGCGAAGCAAAGGAGAATGAGATGCACCAGGCGTCCCGTACCTGCTTGTGCCGGTCCGGTGCAGAGCAAGCTCATGACGGTTGTAGGCAAGGCTCGAGCCGCAAGACGAGCAGTAATTGCTCCAAAATGCGAAGAAGTGTAGAGCAATTTGCCAATTCCGAGAGCGAATCGTTTTTGTGGGATGGTGCGTGATCGTCGCCCTTTGTTGGAATCTGCAGCGGTGGAGCCAAAAAAGGTCCGAAAGCTTCGTGTAGCGTGTCGAGCTGCGATCGTTCGTCGGGACCTAGAAGAGCCATACGCGCCATGGCTACAATGCATTGCGCATAGTTGGAACGGGACCAAAGTCGATCAGCCAAGCTCCCTGCCTCTGCTCCATCACACGAGCACAAGGACGCGGCTCACTCGGAATCGACCCTGCAAGTCTGACGACCAATCGCTCGTACTCTTCTTCTTGCTCTGCTTGGTCCGGCGCAGGCGCAGGCGGAGCGGGCGGACCTGACTTGCCATCTGGAAACATAGCTTCTCGAAGTGAAGGCACAATCTTCGCCAATTGCTCAGGATCCAAAGCTGAAAAGACCGCTCTCGAAAGCTTGTCCTCAATCGCGTCCGAGAGACCAAGATCGAGGAGCAGGTGAAGCAAGGTCATGGAGAGACGAGAACAGATGCGGCTGGAAGTGTCGAGCAGCATTTCAAAGAGGTCCACCCATGCCGCCATGCTGCAGCTTTTAGCAGATCGATTGCCTCTTTTTTCAGCGCTTCTACCGGTTTCTGCTGAGCTGACAAGAGATGACCGGTCTCGGCTGGGCACACGGTCATCGTTGCAATCTAAAGAGGTCCGAGCAGATGCCGCCTTTTTGCCCCCTTGACGCGCTGCTACTGCTCTCGTGCGCGCACCGTGTGCGTAGGGGGGAGCGATGAAGGAGACGTCGAATAGATCAAAGTATGCTCTGAGTACTGCGAGGAACGTCGAGCTCAGCAGAGAGACGAGCAGGGAAAGGGAGACGCGTAGATGAGCAGCAACGGATTGCCAGAGGGCAAGTTGATTCTGCGAAGGGGCGGCGTCGAAGCGGACAGACATGCCAAGTCAGCATACTCGGCCTCGAGTCGCAAGGCGCAAGTCGTTGAATTCCAAACAACATCACAAGCTACGATGAGCTGAATATTCCCTCGTCGCTCACTGGTTTGTGCTGCGGTGGAGCGCTCGTATGCGTTTCCCGACTGTCCAGCCATTTGTGAAAAGACTGGACCAAGAACCATGGTTGAATGGTCCTTTGCAGGATAGCCCCGCTCAGCACGGCCATAAGCAAGTCCCTGAGCAAGTATCGCTCGCAATCGCTCTCCAAATGTTCTGTAGGAATCACAGCATCAAGAAAATGCTCCAATAGTACGGCCAAGTAGGTCGAATCGACGTGGACATGGAGACACGATCCGTTCGAACTGCTCGTGGAGAGGGCCACGTGCGGGTACTTCTCAAGAAAAGTCTGAGCCAGCACTGATGCTTGTCCAACCCTTTGCACCTCTCGCTGCGCAAAGCGGGTGTTTGCAATGTGCTCTTTGAGCAGATGAGGTAGATGCTGCGTCCATAATTGCCTCAGAGCTTGCTTGTTGGCACCTTGAGAGAAGACTTGTGCGAGATGGCAGAGTATGGAGCGAGTAGAGAGTGTTACGAGGGAGAAAAGTTCTCTGTCGGGCGTTAATTTGCTATACCAAGGCAATATGGTGAGGCGCAATGCGTGAGTCAATAGCAGGGCCAGCTCGTGATCCAATGCTCTTTCTGCCTCTGTGAGCGTGCGGCTCATGACGGGCAGGATGATGGGGCGAGCGACTTGCTGGTGATTGCTGAAGAGCACCCGCTTGATCAGTGCTCGTTCTGCCGCCGTCTTATCCATGCTGTGCTGATGGGAAAAGTCGCTGTGAGAAGCGCACCCTTCTTGACGCTGATGGGCCATGTCGAAGCGACGCTTTGCTGTTGAGCATCAAGTACAGATTGATTGCATGCGCGCAGTAAATTCGATCCTATTCAGCTCCATCGACTTGCAAGACGCCCAGCGTGTCCCCCGCCAACTTGTCAGGCTGCCTCAGGAGGATTAATCACGAGACGACTTGGGCGAGCAATCTGGCTGATGAGTCTGGGATGGGGTCAAGATGAGGAAGGATTTGAGTGCGTGTCAACACTCGTGACTGACAACCGCAAAGCTCGGATCGAACAACACCTGCGTAGGCCTTACTTGTCAATTGCCGCGCATACGTTTGAAATGTATTTGTGATCTTCAGTCGAATTTGATCCTTAGCCAGAACCATTATGTTTTGATTAAAATCAAAGACTTACAAATTGATTGGGTCATTCTTCAGGCCGCACTCTGACTGATTAGATGTGAATATGAATCAACGCAAAGTGGACAGGCGTGTTTTTTTATCCAAGGTTCGATTCGAGGTGCTGATTGTCAATTTAAGTGGCGGGGATGTGTTGAATTCAAAATTAGGTGCGGTAAACCAGTCTGAGCACATGCAGCATTTTGATGCGTAATCCGCGACACTGACCACCTTCCTCATTCAACCGCTATCCGAGCCATATTCTTGATTCGTCTTCTTGGTTGACGCCTATGGAAGCCGCTTGACGGATGACGAGGACGACTTAACTACAATCGGAATGTGATGCTTCTTATTGGACCTTTGTGTGGTTAATTAGAAATACCTTGCGACGAGCCCTGGGTGCTTGTGCAACAAGATGAACAAAGCAATCTTGTCCTCGTCCTCGTGCCTGTGGACCGGAACACTTGCCAGCGCGTGTACCAAGACGACACTTTGCATGCATTCCGCTGCGCTTTCAATGATAAGGCATCACCGCTTCGTGGAACAGTCAAACGACATACAGTCACGAGTGTGAGTAGAGTCCCAAAGCAAGGTCCAGTGCAGAACGGGCCGAGAAAATCGGATTGGGGGGATTGCATGCCACTTGATTACGTGTATAGTGATCGTATATGCCGCCGCTGCAAAGGTAGCGCGATATTGCTGAGCTGACCTTCAAATCAAACGCATCAATCAGACTCCGGGCCGTCGCACGGATCACTTAGACTAGCCTGTCAGTATGCCGAGCCATGCTTTCGTCGTGACGCAGCGCTGCTGCCCTTGAGAACATCCATCTGGAAAGCGAACGTGAATGATGAATGCCCTAGCGCGCATGCATGCGAGCCCTGCTGGGCACATGGTCCCGTATCCTCCCCCGCAATTTCCCTCCCACTCATCTCCCACCGGCTTGGAGGGGTAACGCCCTCATCACCTAGACGGGCAAGGTTCGCAACAAGGGTCGAGAAAGCTGCCTGTCGCTCTTTCGCCCGTGGGCATCCCGTCCAGGTCCGAGTCGGGTTGGTATATATACTTCGCGCTCATCCATCCACTAGCTGCGCTCGCAATTCTTTACTCAAAAGACTCACAAGTGCTTACCAAGCCTCGTGCGCACCAAGCGTATGTCGTCCTGTCCTATCCTGTACACGCTCGCAGCTTGCGTGCGAAGACCCAGAACACACACGAAAGCACACTCTTTGCTTTGCATCTCGCTTCGCACGCCGAGAAACAGCATTTTGCATGATGAGCAAGACGAGCAAGAAAGCACTCGATATCATCATTGTGGGCGCGGGCTTGGGCGGGCTCACAGCTGCTGCGTACTTAAAAACAGCGGGACATCGTGTGACGGTGAGAGCGAGGGTTGCAATCTCCGCGCTTTGGACGAACGAGGGAATGGCTGTACGACTGACGAATTTCTCCGAACTGCACGGGTACAATCGATCTTACGGAGATCGTTTGCAGGTCCTAGAAAGGAGCGCGAGCTCACTGGGTCAGTCTGAACCGACGGCGGATTTCGGTCTGTCCATCGTAGCGAATGCGGTGCACCTTTTATTTGCGTTGGGCGTATCCGAACCCAATTTGAATGGTGTGGAATTCACACAGATGTGGGACCTGACGCCCGACAATCAACTCAAGGCTAGCGTGCCTTTCAATACGAGGAAAATGTTTGGCGCTCCTACGCTGTTGATTCGTCGATCTCGTCTGGAAAAGGAATTGCTCAGGATTGTCAATTCGGACGAAGATTCAACGGATGAGAAGACGGGCGGACGGGGAACAGTGGACCTGATGTGGAATGCAAAGGTGGAGAGTGTGGATGTGGACATTGGAAACGTCGTACTGCGCGATGGGACGAGCAGATCTGCGGACCTCATCATCGGTGCAGACGGCGTCAACTCTGTAGTCCGCAAAGCCATTCTTGGTGAACGCGCTCAACCGCAATTGCACGGTGAGTCAGCGCTGGTGGAACATGCCTCGGCGATGCCTGGCTGACTGGCGTCTACTCCATCGAAACGGTACAGGTCTGCTCGCGTACGTGGCACACGTATCTGCCGCACACTTGGCCTCCCTACCTCAGACGCGATTTGCAGTAGAGGATGCCGGAAAAAGAGGACTTGCGTTTTGGATGAGCAATCCTTCGGCGCCAGTGAGGTAGATCGGCAGCACCGAGGAAGAGGTGTGGTGTAGCTTACTCGCTTCTACTATTGCTCTCGCTCAAATTCCCCAACCCCGCTCTCCGCTGCAGTACCGCGTGGTCTTGTACCCTTACTCTCCAGAAGCCTTCAACATCATCTGTATTCTTCCAGACGAGCGTTGGGCGTCCACCTTCGCCGCTCAAAAACAAGCAAGCCTTTCAGACGTACCCGCAAAGATTCTCAAGGAAGAGCTGGAGAAGCAAGGTTTTGCCGAGGAGATTGTGCAGCTTGCTACGGAGCACGGGAGTGCCATCTGTGCTTGGAGGCTGAGGACGCTGCGACAGATGCCTTGTCAGGAGTGGCACAAGGGCAAAGCTGTGCTTTTGGGAGATGCTGTACATGCGGTCAGTAGGTTTCGCAGGATGCACGAGCGCGTGGTGACAGCTGATTGTGAAGTGCTTCATCTCTCTCGCCCTTCTCCCAGCTCACCCCGCATCTGGGCCAAGGCGTCAACATCGCTATAGAAGGTGAGTGGTCTAAGCGCGCATCTTCAACAGCGCTTGTTCCGATGTCCTCAAAAGACCTGGCCGCATCGATTCTTCATCCTCCATTGACCTGCTCAACCCGACTTTTTGAAAGATGCCGAAGCGCTCCATTACTTTATGAGCAGAAGCGACGGGTCGACGAAGTCTTTGAAGCTTGCCATGGAGCAGTACGCAGCTCTCCGAGCTCCACGAGTACACAGAATCCAATGGCGCAACCTGCAAGCCGCAGGATTGCTCTCGGAGGATGAAAAGGCGAAGCATGGACCGATCGATAGGCAAGAGTTTGGGAAAGAGACGTACGCTTATCAGGGAGCTGAAAAGGAGCTTTTGAAAAGGAATAAAATCGAAATGTCGTTTTGACCTGCCGATGAGAATTAGCACTCTCGCAGTCCGGCTGTCGTCCACCAAGTCTTGGTACGAACTGGGCCTCCGCAATCGTCGCGTCGACTCTTCAAGACTCATCCTTCTAGCTTTTAGGTTGATCTCTCCCTCGAGCCTCATGTATCGTACGAACATCGACCTTGAAGATTTCTGATCATCCGTGACGGGACAAATACGAATCATCGTGGCTGTAACAGATAGGGTTCGACGGGTATTTGAAATGACACCCACCCACCCCCTTTGGACGAGACGAGGATGACATGCTCTTCTGACTGTATGCTCGTGATTGACCCGGTTTGCAGCTGCTCCCCCATGCACCTCCACATGTACGCTCGTCACGGCGCACGTCTCAGCGTGCGATGCTCATTATACGCGTGAATGGCGTGTGGGCTTGAAGGATCGCCGACTTGCTGCATCCTAATCTGTGAACCCTTCGCAAACCCCACACCATCCACACCTCGAGCATGCCCGCATCCTTTCCCGCCGTTGCATTCCAACACCTCTCTCGCGAGGAGTTTATGAATCTGCGCACGCTCTGCTTCTGTCCCAGCTGAATCATCTCAGCAAACGCATCCCCACTTGACAAAGTCAGCCAGCCAACCTTCAGAATGCCTTCTCCTCACAACTCCAGATGGTGTACCAGCGCATGCTGCGGCGCGCGTCCTTCCAAGAGGTCCAGCGCTACGCCTCAAACTCACCCCGAGACATCATCCAGCGGTTCGAATCCCGCGCCTCTCATCTCTCGGTACTACACAGCTCTTTCCTTGGGCTATTTGCCAAGCAACGATCAACTCTATGCGGCTTTGCATGCGCTGGCTGGATCCCTAGAAGGTGCTGCTTCGGCTGTTGCTGATGAGGATAGGCTGGAGATCGCGACGGATCAGAGGAGCGCGAGCGCGAGCGCGAATGCGAATGCGAATGCGAATGCGAGTGCAAAGCAACAGACAGGAGAACTGCTTCTTGAAGGCGCCGAGATTGCTAGGGAAGTGGCAAAGTGGCTGTACGGAGATGTCAAGGGTGCGACTGCGAGCGGCACGCAGGACAAGAGCGCAACTGGGCAAAAGACAACAAAGGGCAAGGAGGCAGCACCAGTGCATGAGCATGAGCATGAGCATGAGCATGAGCATGAGCAAAGGGTCGAGCGATTGATAGACTTGTCTGAGCCAGCAGCAGATGCGCAAGCCTCCGACAGCTCGAGCTCTGGCCTGAAGGAGCAGAGAAATGGCAGCACATTGGCTCCCTCAACTTCAACTTCTACCCACAACGCAAAGCCGGCAGCCAGAGGTAATTCGAACGAACAAATACAGCAGTTGCTCTGGTTGCTCAAAAGGGCGTACAGCGAGGCGGACAGTGCAGATGCGGAGGTGGAGCTGGATGTGCATCTCGGTGAGTGGAGTTGGCCTTGTAGCGAGCGTGTTTCACCTTCTCAGCGTACTGTTCTTGCGGCGCCAGACCTGCCATCCGTCAGTGCGACGAAGCAGAAAGCTCAAAATGCGGTCAGGATTGCTCAGCAAGAGTCATCGAGCGCCATCAGGGCTTTGTGGACCGTCGTTACTGCAGTCGGAGTGGACGAGTGAGTCGTCGTCAAGACAGGGAGCGCGTGTGGAGAAAGCGCGCCCTTGATGTGACTAGACTCTGGCTCAGTCTTTCGCATCCATTTGCGCTCCAGGGCACATCGGCTTGTCGCGCTGATCGTCAGCTGCGCACGCACGCGAGCCGCAGCAGAAGCTGAAAGAGCTGCCGAGCTTGCAAAAGGTGCCGCAGAGCAGCTCAGGCCAGAAGGTGCGTCCTCCCCATCCTCCAACATCTCTTCGTCTCTTGCCATACCCAGAAACTGACTGTAGAAGCGTTCTCGACTCCCTGCTGATTGACCAGATACACCAAAGAATGTCGAAGAGGCAGCGCAAGCACCCGACGCTCGCGAGGCTGTTCAAGATGCCACGTTCGCAGCGCGCGCTGCTGCGCAAGAAGCCGTCGGAGGTGGTATGCACGGACAGATGCCCAGGCAGTCAAGCGAACAGCAAGACACGTGGGAGGATATGTTTGTGCGATCTCTAGAGCGCATGCTGCGAGCAGCCAAGGAGAGTGCAGAGGCCAGAAGGAGCGTTCGCACGCTTCTGGAGCTGTTCGAGACATGGAGCAAGAGGTTATCGAGCGTGCAAGAGCGCGTAGATCGAGCGGCCAGCGTCAGCTTACAAGCTGCAGACAATCCAAAAGAAGCGCTGCAGCATGCGAGAGAAGAAGCGGGAACTGCTGTTCAAGCCGAGCTGCACAATTCGCAGCTTGATGCGGAGCTCGATATTTCGAACGAAATGTGGAGCAGGCTGAGCGCGCTCGGCTTGGCTGCTCGACAGACCTTGGAAGGCCTTGCGGGAGGCAAGAGCTTGCAGCCTATCGTCGATACGTCCACTCGAGTAATCACGGCGCTCAGAAAAGAGACGGACACTCGGCAGTGGCTCAAGGAGCTTGGAGATGTTGTGCGAGAGGCGACGGATTCGCCCTATACCAGCGACGATCATGACGATGAGGATGATGAAGACGGCGGCATCGAAGTGCGGGGCACGAGGACAGGCGATGCAGCTCTGACTGGAAAGCTTCGTGCCTTGCTTCGAGACTTTGTAGAATTGATCAACAAACGTCCAGAACTCAGCAAAGCACTCGACGAGCTCAAAGCTCAACTCTTCGACTTTGCCGACGCGATTCGGTCCGAGCCTGGACTTGCAAGTTTGGGTAGACGATTTGCACGTATGGGAAAAGCTTTGCAGACGCTCTTTGAGAGCTTCAGACAGGGCGATGCTCTGGGTCCTCAGAGGATCATTGACGTGATCAGAGATGCACCAGTCACGCGAGCTATCAAGGCCGTGGTCAAGCGGTTGCTTCCGACTTGGCAGCAGGTGCTCAAAAGCGTGCCTCTGCCGCGTGTCGAATTTACAAGCGATCAGGCGGATGCTTCTGTGAGTGGGATGCGCGTGGGTAGATGAGCAGATGTCAAGCGGCCATCGTCAGCTCACTCCCTTCGCCAACCCTCACAGGTTGACGACATTCGTATCCCCGCCTTGAATCTGATACCCGAACACGTTGGTCTTTCTCTGCGCACGGATTACACGTACGACAGAGGTGAGGTGGCACCTTGTTCAAAATCGCCATACGCTCGTGACTAGCTGACGCGATTGTGCCCTCACCTATCCGTAGATCGACGTAGTCATGACGTGACGACCAATACGGATGCTAATGTCCGTTTGAGCCTGGCTGGTTTCAGACTAGGCATCGAAGATGTCAGCTTCTGGGTCGAAGAAAAGGGTGAGTCGATATGGCGTGTCGCATCTGCTGCGCATTTGCTGAACTGTGATCATCTTCTTGTCCACAGTCACCGCACCTTCCCCTCAAGGCTGCTGTGGTCTGTGCGGCTGCTTCGCGTCCGATGAGAG